TACAGGAACATTTTCACAACGGCGTTGTTAAATTTGACAACGGCGGTGCGCCGCAGTGCCTCCTATGTAAAAGAAACCCTGACATATACTACACCACTGTACAATACTGTATACGTACGTACATATGTATACCGCTCGGAACCGAACATGTTTGTAAGTCGGGGAGTCTCTGTATCAGTAACAAATGATCATACACATCTGACAAATCACATCTATTCTTGCTAGTTCTGCACTTTGTAAAGAGTCTGTTTGAAATATTGAAATAAAATAACTACTCTTTTAAAACTATGGTTTTAAGATCCACGGAGGCATTTATCAACCTGGGCATTATTATTAGGCTATAACGTGTCAATGGGGACACCAACCTATTTAACTAATGGCAATGATATGCCATGCGATGCTATTGTGTTGCACCAATTGATGTCTCTCCTCCGGTAGTGTGCTACCCATATATTGCATTAAGAATTGCAGTGTGAGATTGTCCGTGTGTTGTGACTAATTATCCGTTGGTTGCTCCGGTGCGAGGTTGCCGCATAAATCATACCGACACTCGTGTTGATGAGTGAGTCGGATGTTTTATCAACGCGCGCGATAAACAGGTGCTACGCACACGTTTTTACCTGCGATTTCTTGCCGGGGAAACTCTCACGCCTGAGAGAAGGTTCCCCCGCGTGAAATGGGAAATATTTTCTTGGAATTAATAACTTCCACCGCGAGAGAAGCGGCGCGGCATAGGCATGTGTAGCAGCTTCCTTATCAGCTCGCGTTGTGCGGTGTCGACTTCTCTAGCATCATTCATCCTCCACGATAGATCTACTTAATGCGATTTGACTCTACCTGACCCAGCTGTCACAATTAAGATCCATTTACGGTGCCGATTTACCGGTAACACCGAAACGGTGCGTGATTATGATACTGTGATCTAAAGATGTTATGAACTTAGGATACGACTCTCAAATGTTGACATACAAATGCTCGTGCTGTGCCTTTAATTGGTTGGTATATGTTCGTTCTGAAATGCAGTAATCTTACTTGTCATCAAATGAGGCTAAAAACAGGTTTCCACTCATGCCAAGGTGCTGTCTAAGCAGTATGGTAGCTGTAGGGATAGCGTGGTGCATGTCTGTATTTCTGTTTGCGTGTATGCATATATGTGAATAACCTTGTTCATTACAATGAATCAAAACTTGCAGACCCGCCGTCAAAGCGATTTAATTGCAGCATTCACTTGTCGGCGTGGATTGTGTCAGGAATACCTCAACTATTGTGCTGATGATAATAATAGTGAAACTTCCTTAGAATACCTGCTTTTTTTGCATGAAACTGCATGTATTTTTATTTACTGGGTGTTGTTTTGGCCTGCAACCATATCAAACAAGTGCGGGTGCTTGTAGGGAACTGCATAGTGCATTCTATTGAAAAGAAAATGATTTAAGGAGAAAAGTGGAAATGTAGTGAAATTGCGTTAAAGCCGCACTATGCGCATCTACACGCTAATTTCTCCAGTACTAGACTAGCAAATACTTTGTGTCATGCAGAATCATACTACCTTATGACAAAATAAACTCTAGTTCCTCCCCTTTCACTGCGCGTTGTCTTATAAAAGGCATTTTAAAATACCTCCAATGTTGATCAAATTCTCCGATGTTGTTGATAGTTTCGCGTTGCTCTCCCAAGCAACCGTGCAGTGGTGCTGCGGTACAGCGGTACGGGTGTAGCAAAGATAAAAACATGTAACGTCACTTTACTGCTTCGAGGCTAAATTGTTTGGCAAACAAGTCGGCGTTGGCGCCAGATTACCAGATTTTGCACCTCTTTCTTGTGGGTTTTAAGCAAACGCACAGTGAAATGGGAGGAACTAGAGTTTATTTTGCCATAAGGTAGTGTGATTATGCATGACACAAAGTATTTGCTAGTCTAGTACTGGAGAAATTAGTGTTTGGATGCGCATAGTGCGGCTTTAAGAATGTATCACGTTAAAAGCCTATTTTCATGCGATACGTAACTAACACCGAACTATCTCAGGGTTTCTTCTGAGGGAAAATTAGACAAAGGAGGTAATGGCCAGTTTGGGAAAAAATGCGCATGATGGATTCAAATACAGGATGTATTGATATATATAGGTATATAGATACAGGATATACTTATCAGTAATTACAGGAACATTTTCACA